ATGCCAGGGGCAAACAGGGCAAAGGGGCTCCAGTGGGCCTTGCCTCGCAGACCTGAAGCTCAGTTGTTGAGCGCAGGGCTGTGTGATGGAAAAAAGTAAGAGCTGTAGGTCCTTTCATCTTCCTTCATCAGCTGTGGCACCTGGCAGATACTGGATACCACTGCTTGGAGACAAAGACCCGGTAACTCAAGAAGCTGCTCGGCCTCCCTGCCCCAACCCGTGCCATCAGAACTGTAGGCCTCTGATTTCTTTGGAGGGCCCTGTGTGGAAGAGCCTTTTGTCTCCCTGGCGTCAGGAACACATCATGTGCCTGCTGGTTAGGTGAGCCTGGCGCCAGAGTCTCCTAGGAAGGGTGGCAATGTTCCCGAAGCCGAGCAGGGTAGAGCCAGGTAACGTCCCTGTCTGGATGGGGAGGGGAGGGGATTTTCAGACCAGTCCTTTGGCTTCATCCTATGGACTCATCACAGACTTCAGGGAGCAGCACCCAGTGAAGTATTCCGTCCAGGCTGGACCCTGGCTGGCAGGCCAGCTGGTTCATTTCCAATCCCCAGCCCTGAGCCTGGGGGCATACACAGGAGCTCAACATTCTTTACTGAATGAATGGATATCCGTTGCCAGAGGGTGGCCTCTTCTCTAGACCTGGGGTTTTCTTAAAACAGTGGTTATCTTGGGCCCAGAAATCTCTTCAGAAATCAATGGATGTAAAAGGTTAACTGGGGAATAAAGTTCACATCCCAGCTTTGCCACTGAACTGTTCAGAATCTGTTCCCTCACCTTTTTAAAAAACATATATATTTTGCCGGGACCGGTTTGGCTCAATGGATAGAGCGTCGGCTTGGGGACTGAAAGGTCCCGGGTTCGATTCCGGTCAAGGGCATGTACCCTGGTTGCGGGCATATCCCCAGTAGGGGGGGGTGCAAGAGGCAGCTGATCGATGACTCTGTCTCATCGATGTTTCTGATTCTCTATCTCTCTCCCTTCCTCTCTGTATAAAATCAATAAAATATATTTTAAAATAAAAACATATATATTTTATTGATTTGTTAAAGAGAGGAAGGGAGAGGGATAGAGTCAGAAACATCGATGAGAGAGAAACATTGATCAGCTGCCTCCCACCCCCCACCCCCCACTGGGGATGTACCCGCAACCAAGGTACATACCCTTGGCCGGAATCGAACCTGGGACCCTTCAGTCCGCAGGCCAACGCTCTATCCACTGAGCCAAACCGGTTTCAGCTGTTCCCTCACATTTAAAGGAGAAAATGGGTAATGCTATTTCACCTCAAGAGTTATTATGGATCGTGAGCTCACTCATGTTAGGGTCAGGGGAGGGCACTGAGGCCCTGAGCAGACTCTCAGCGGTAACTGCAGAGCCCCCTCCGCCTTCTTTCTCGGGGCCCCCGCTTTCCGGTCTGGAAACGGGGGCCGCAGCCCCTCCCAGACACTAGCAGCTTCCAGGCTTCTCAGGACCCCGGTCACCGATTCGACTCGGGGCAGCCCCTGCCTGAAAGACCCTTGCAGGTCGCAGAGTACCCCGGCCAGTCGCCCGTGGCCTCGGAGACGAACGAGTCCCACTTCCGAGGGTGAGAATAAGAACCAAGGTCCGCCCCGTCGCGCTCTCCGTCTTTGCGCCCGGCCCCGCCCCTCCGGCGTCCCGAGGCCACCCCGCCGTTTTCCACCCGCCGTCAGGCGAACTCGGTGGCCAGCCCCGCCGCTCTGTGACGTCACGGGCCCTGGGGTCCTCGCCTGCCGCTCGTATAAAGACCGACGCCGAGCCGCACTGTTGCTGTAAGAGGCCTTGTTTTCCACCTTTCTCGTCAGGTTCAGCTGACGCTGCTCCGCTCTCGTCAGCCTCCGGCCCGCTCTCTCCTGGAGACCGAGCACCGTGAGTAGCCGCCGACGGCGCTGGAAGGGGCGGTGGCGCCGCGGGTTGCGAGCTGGTGCGGGCCGCGCCGCTGCGGCTTCGGCTCTCCGGAGGCGGGAGGCACCGGGGCCTGGTCCTCCCTCAGGCCCGGTGCACCCGGCCTCAGACCCTGTTCCTCCGGGCTCCGGCTCTGCCCCTCCAGTCGGCGAGGCCTCTCTCGGGAGTGCGTCGTCACGACGCCCCTTGGGCGGGCGGGCGGGCGGGCGGGAGAAGGGGCGAGCCGAGCCCGGAATTGGGCCTTTCCTGCTCGGGGCCGGCGTTAGCCGGCGCCGGGCTCGGCTGCCAGGCCCAGCTGCGGCCGGCGCCTCCCGGGGTGTGGAGTCCGCGGCCTCGGGGACCCCGGGCGGGGATGGCTGCGGGGTCTCTGGGGAGGGCTGCGTTGTTGTGGGCGCGGGCGTGGGCCCGTGTTGCTCTGGGCTGAGAGGGAGCGGCGGCGCTCCGGGAGCGCTGGGTTCCGGCCCTCATCTTGCTCTCCCCGGTCTCCGGCGTCGCTAGTAACCGGTTCTCCGCCAGCTGAGGTGGGGCCCAGTCTTTGCAGATAGCTGCCTGTTCCTCTGGAATATTCCTGTTATTTTGCCACTGCCTAGAGTAGGTGGAACAACGGTTGTAATCCGGTACCATAGTTAACAGGGCGTGACTTTTAGGAACTTAACACTGAAGGTGGGGCTGGCTTTTAAAAAATGGACCTGATTGGGTTCGCTTTTTGTTTGTTTGTTTTGTTTTTGCTTTGGGTCATTTTTTAATGGAGACTTCGGGTTTGGGTTTTTGGGTTATGATTATTTATTTATTTATTTATGGTCAGAACGTCACAATAGAATGTATCTGTGTCGTGGAGCAATGCAGACCTCCACTCTGCCCTTTGAAAAGAGGTGTCACTTAAAAGTTTTTCCCCCTCCTTTATGATGTTGATAGAATTCACATCATGCTAGCCACAGGTTTTTGTTTTTTTTTTCCTCTTTATGATGTTGATAGAATTCATATTGTGCTAGTCATGGAAGTGATTTAATTTCCAGCTACAGGAGCCTTAATAAATGAAGAAATGGTCTTGAAAGCATGTCACATCAAAATTTCATCCATTCTTTAAGATTTTTGCACCAAATCCCAGTTGTATAACACTAAAGAAAGTTCTCTTTAAATATTAAGTTTAGGGTTACAATGTGCATCGAATTACAGATTAGCTGATTGACTCACTGCTATTTAATAAGACCTCAACTCCCTTAAGAGTAACCTAATATATGAATTTGACTGTGACTAAGCAGATCTTGTTTATTTGAGAGTTATTTGAAGAAAAGTGGAATGATAGTCTTGCTTAAAAATAATTTTATCAACTGCATTGGCAGACTTGTGATTTGTAATGTTTATTCCAGTACTATAGAACATAAAAAGAACAGAATATTTTCTAATTAAAATTTGGGCTTACGTTAAAATATTTCTTTTTGCCTTGTCACAGGGCAGATCCTATGCTCTGGGCCCTCTGCATTATGGCAAGCACTAGGCAACATGGAGAAGCAGACCTATTTGTAAACTGAAAAGTGAAATTCAATTCTTTACAATCATGAGTCACTGAGAGGATATATCAATGTCTGGTTTTAAAACATACCTTTGTTTCCTTTCCCTAATAGCTTGTCTTTCTGGGGGATGGAGATAATTGTCTGGGAAAAGCTGATCAAATTTTAACTGATTTAATGGGACTTAAAGTCTTTAAACCTAAAATGAATGAATGTTTTAAATGCCAAATTATCCACTTTCATGTTAATAATGACATCATAGGATTAAGACTCTCAGAAGCCTTTAAAACTTATACTTGAGCTCCAGCTAGTTTGCTCAGTGGATAGAGTGTTGCCCATGAACTTAAAGGGTCCCAAGTGCTATTCTGGTTCCAGGCTCATCCCCGTGTGGGAGGCTACCAATGGATGTCTCACATCAGTGTTTTCCTCTCTTGGTCTCTCCCCCTCTATTCTCTCTAAAAATCAATGGAAAAATATCCTCTGGTGAGGATTAACAAAACAAAATAAAACAAACAGAATGGATCATAAAAACTATACTTGAAATTTGAAGAGATCTTGAAATAATCTTTATTGGCAGGTATTGCTACCCGTTCTCTCCACCCCCCCCTCCCCCAAATCCTTTTCTGCCCAAGAATGTGAAGATGGTAAAAAAAACAAAAAAAAACAAAAAAAAAAAACTGCTGACTTAGAATTTTTAATTTTAAACATTTTTTTTTTGGGGGGGGGGCAGAATTCAAATCCTTTAAAGTTAATTGTTTAATTAACTTTTATGTAAGAGGTGTCTTTTTCCTAATGACTCAATCTTAGTTAATAAATACATTTTTGAAATGAGTAGTAGGTTATTACTATGAGGATTTTGGCAGAAGATCTCAAACTTGGACACCTGGACAGTCAGTAATGAAAGATAAAAAGGACGCTGTACAATTGGTTTCTTATTTGGCATGGGGAATTAGATTGACATCTGTTTATCCTTAGCTCTTTATTCTGTTATATGATCTTGCATTGATCAAAACATAGATACTAAGTATGTCATGATCGACTTTGGATTTGAACTTATTTTTCACTGTTAAGTTTCACTAGAGAAAAATTACTCTCTTATTTGGTAGCTTTGTTTATTTTGAATTGCCCTCGGGTTTGCAGGAGTTAATTTTAACAGTTAACTTCAAATACAATAGCTAGTATTGAGTAAAAACAAAAAGGCAGACAAAAATGTAAGTTCCATTTTAGAAATATTTTGCCTCAAAAATATGGAATGTAACTCTAAATTTAAACCAGCAATGAGTTCAGTAGAGAAGCCTTAAGAGCTTCTGTTTCTAGGAATTACACTTTGAAAGAATTTTATAGAAACGCTTGTATGTTAGCCCGTGAATAATCACTGTGTTTTACAGGGCTATATACTACAGGTTTTTAGGATTTTATAGTTTGGAGGACTTCTAACAGGCACATCTCATCCCACTCGAAAAAAAACAACAGAAACCTTGATTTTTACTTTTAAAAAATCAGTAATTTATGGAAATAATATATCTTATATTTCAAATTCTGTATAATGCCCCCCCCCCTTTTTTTTAGATGCCTTCAATTAAATTGCAGAGTTCTGATGGAGAGATATTTGAAGTTGATGTTGAAATTGCCAAACAGTCTGTGACTATCAAGACTATGTTAGAAGGTAAGTTATTTTAAAAGCCTGGGTCAAAGAGGGGAAATAAGTAGTTTGAGATAACCTGTGAACATCGAATTTATACAAGTAATCTGTCAAAGTTCTCAAGAATACGAAGGGGTGAAGTTTACCTTTTTTAAAATTTAAAGTATTAACTGCATTTTTTTTATACAGGTCATCCCTTCTGCATTGTCTGAATTAAGGAGAGATTCCCCCTCCCCCCCATTAAATAGATAAGACCAATTTTCTGTTTCAAGTAAATTTAGATTCACAATTTCTAATAACAAAAATTAAAGCCTTTGGAAAAGAGATCCTTTCTATAAGGTTGCTAAATAGAGCACCTGGTTTCAACAGAAGAAGTAAACTGAGTAGATTGTAAACCGAGTAGATGTGTGTTGTTTTTTTAACCAAGTTTTCCCTTTTGTCTAGTTTGTTATTCCTCTGAAACTACTGCAAAGTATTATATGTGCAGCACAACAGAGAAGTAAGACAGAAAAACCGGTTCTGAAACATTTTTGAAATTTTTTACTAGTTAAGGTGGATCTCAGTGTTACTAGTGGGGTGGTGGACATTAATATAAAATGAGGACATACAAATCAGTCTCTAGAATTAGTGGGGAGGGGGAAATTTACCGGTAATAAGAGTGTTCTTCAGAAATTAGACTCTTAATTTTTCAAATGTCAAATGCTTTTATATAGGGGAGATCTGTAGCTTACCAATAATTGAGTTATGTGCCAAGCACTAGCTATATTCTGGTGAAAAGAAGGTAAGAAAAATAGTTTTTGCGCTTGAAGGATTTTTAAACCAGGAAGGGAGACAGACGCCAAAGAAGTCAAACTGCCACATAGTGTATATAATTAGTGCATTAATAAAACTGTGTGCCAAATGGTGCTGTGGGAACATTTTGGCTGATGCTATTCTTTAGGCTTGTGGAGAGACTTAAGCCTTCTTCCAGATAACATTTGGATCTAAAAGATGGTCTTTGTATTATGTTTTCTCTAAATCTTAATTCCTCAAACACAAATATTTCACATAGTAAAACTTTTTTCTCTTACGGCTAAAAATATTCCTTAGTTCAGGAAAGAGGTAAGTGGCTTGATCCAAATTGGGATATTATTTTTATTTAAAAATGTTTTTATTGATTTTAGAGAGGAATGGGGAGAGAAATATCAATGAGAGAGACATGTATTGGCTGCCTTCTGCATGCCCCCTACTGGGGATCAGCCCACACCTGGGCATATGCTCTGGCATTTGAGGCAACCAGCAACCTCTTGCTGTAGGGGACAGTGCTAAACCAACTGAGCCACGCAGGCTCTACAGCAACTGTTCTCAGCCTGTGGGTCGCTAACAGGGTCGCCTAAGACTATCGGGAAGCACAGATTTTACATTACGATTCATAACTAGCAAAATTACAGTTATGAAGTAGCAACGTAAATAATTTTATGATTGGGGGTCACTACAACATGAAGAACTGTATTAAAGGGTCTTGGCATTAAAAAAGGTTGAGAACCACTGATCTAGAGAGTTTAGTATAAAGAATGAGGATAAAAGTTTAGTTTGTGTTTTTTTTTCTAAATGGTTGCCCAGCCATTTCAGTCACACTTATTAAATAATTTTCTTCCTATTTAAGAATTCTTTTGATATAGTTTTATTATATTTGTCTACTCATAACTTTATATAATACTCTTTCAGACATATTATGTTAGTCACTTGTTTGAGAAATAACCTAGTTTTGTATAAATGTTATAATGAAGTTAGGAAATAATGGCAAATCTCTTGTTTTGTTAGATTTGGGAATGGATGATGAAGGCGATGATGACCCAGTTCCTCTACCAAATGTTAATGCAGCAATATTAAAAAAGGTAAATTAGCAAACTATATATTGTATGTGATTTTTCTTCCTTAACAGTATCCTGGTGATCTTTCTACATTGATAAAGAGATAGCTTCCTTTTAAAAAATCTAGAACTCTTTGTAGTATGATTAAGTATTTATTGTAGTTTATTTAACCTGGCCCTTGTCTAGTCTTTTCATTAACACATTTAAATTACTTAAATATAACTATATGTGATTAGCAAAAAGGAAAATTCTTGTGTTGTTTGTCCACTGAATGGGTGCCTCAAAGGGAACTTGAGAACAAGAGATGTGCTTTTGTTATCTTAGTTGATCAACTTACCTTCTTGTGTCTAAGCATAAATGGCTCTCCACATTAAATAGGTTTTAGTGTTTCAGGTCACATGGCTTCTTAACAGAACCAGCTATTTAAATAGAATTCTTATCTGAAAAAACAGCAACCAGTTTCCACATTGGGGGAAAAACTTGCTAGACTTAGAGGAAAATGGCTAGAAAAAAATATATTTAAATAAGATTATTTAAACCTTAAGTATACTGAATAATCACATGATCCAAAACCTAAAAATGATAAAAATCTCTTGTCTCTCATCTAACCAGAAACCATAACAATAAACGTTAATTTCTTTTATATCCTTTCAAGAGTTTTTTTAATGCCTATATTAGTTTTTTTAATGCCTATATTGCTCTTTTTAAAAAAACAAAAAACTTTTAATTTTAGGGAGGACGGGAAAGGGAAAGAGACAGAGAAGCATTAATTATGAGAGAATAACTGATAGGCTGCCTCTTGCACACCCCACACTGGGGATTGAGCTCACAAACCAGGCATGTGCCCTGACCAGCAATTGAACCTGAGACCCTGTCAGTCCACAGGTTGATGCTCTATCCACTGAGCCAAACCAGCTGGACCTAAGTGCTCCTTTTCTTTCTTTTCTTTTTAAAAAAATATATTTTATTGATTTTTACAGAGAGGAAGGGAAAGGGATAGAGTTAGAAACATTGATGAGAGAGAAATATCGATCAACTGCCTCCTGCACATCCCCTTTTGGTGATGTGTCCACAACCAAGATACATGTCTTGATTAGAATCCAACCTGGGACCCTTCAGTCTGCAAGCCAAACCGGTTAGGGCAAGTACTCCTTCTCTCACAAGACTGAAATACTTGTTAAAAAGCTATTGTTTATTTCATTAAAGCCCCTTAGTATTGGCTTTTCCTTCTAGAAATAGCTCTTTACTCTTTTTTGCATCCTGGCAGTAAAAATTCTTGGCCATTTTTTCTCAGCATTTCCCCCCAGTATTAAATATTGTGGAAAAATTATCATACAGAAAACACCCATTTGCCTACCACTTATTATAGATTCTACAACTTAATACTTTTAGTGTTGGTTATAATCGTATATCTAGTCTAGCTGATCAGATGTGTTTAATTATAATGTGTTCATTTCCCTAGTAAGGGAACATTTGAGCTTTTCCTGTTTTGTTATTACATTGTGTAGTCTTGTGTATGTGTCTGTGAATTTAGAATTGTTTAGTGAGAATGTATGTACATACTCGGTCTCACTAGGTAGTGCTAGATTTTTTCAAAGGGGTTATTCCAGTTTATACTCCCCTGTAGAAGAGGCTGTTACCCGAATAATTCATATCAAAATTTTAATATTCCCTAGCCCAGTGGTTGGCAAACTCATTAGTCAACAGAGCCAAATATCAACAGTATAACGATTGAAATTTCTTTTGAGAGCCAATTTTTAAAAAAATATATTTTATTGATTTTGTACAGAGAGGAATGGAGAGAGATAGTTAGAAACATTGATGAGAGAGAGTCATCGATCAGCTGCCTCTTACACACCCCCTACTGGGGAGATGCCTGCAACCAAGGTACATGCCCTTGACTGGAATTGAACCCGGGACCCTTCAGTTCCCAAGCCAACGCTCTATCCATTGAGCCAAACCGGTCTCGGCTGAGAGCCAAATTTTTTAAACTTCTTCTAATGGCACTTCTTCAAAATAGACTTGCCCAGGCTATGGTATTTTGTGGAAGAGCCACACTCAAGGAGTCAAAGAGCCGCATGTGGCTCTCAAGCTACAGTTTGCTGACCACAGCCCTAGCCAGTTAGGCTTAGTGGGTAGAGTGTAGGCCTGAGGACTAAAGGGTCCTGGGTTCGATTCCTGGTCAAGAGCAGGCATCTTGGTTGTAGGCTTGATCTTCAGCCCTAATTGGGGTGCATGCAGGAGGCAACCAATTGATGTGTCTCTCTCACATCTCTATTGGGAGCGGGGGGAATTTATATATATCCTATCTAATAAAAGAGTAACATGCAAATTAACCATCACTCAGCTACACTCACCAGCCAGAGTGAGTATGCAAATTAACTCCAAACCAAGAGGGCTGCGACCACGGAGCGAGCAGGAGAGAGGCTTGGGTTTCCCTAGCGAATGGAGGAAGCCAAGCTTTCCACACACCCTGGTGGGCCCAAGCCTCTGCTCAAGGCTACAAAGTTTCAGTTTTAGAAAATAAATTAATTCTAACAGAAATGGCAGCAGTCATGGAGTGAGCAGGAGGCTTGACTCCACTCCAGACTACGAAGTTTCAATTGTACAAGACAAATAAACCCCAGATATCAGGGTCTCTACTTGGGTCGCATGACCGGCCTAAAAACCACCACAGGCCCCTTGCCCAGGCTGCCCCACACCCCAAGGGAACCTCCACCCTGATCCAGGACACCCTTCAGGGCAAACCGGCTGGCTCCCACCCATTCACCAGGTCTCTATCCAAACTAATAAAATAAAAGAGTAATATGCAGATTGACCATCAGTTCAACACACAAGATGGCTGACCTCATGTTGCAAAATATGGCTAACAAGGGAGGGCAGTTGCGAGGGACCAGGCCTGCAAGGGAGGGCAGTTGTGGGCGGTCAAGCCTGCAAGTGAGGGCAATTAGGGATGACCAGGCTGGCAGAGGAGGGAAGTTGGGGGTGACCAGGCCTGCAAGGAAGGGCAGTGGGGCGGGTGAGGTGAAGTGGGGGGGGGGACTCAGGCCTATAGGAGAGGGAAGTTAGGGGTGATCAGGCCTGCAAGGGAGGGAAGTTGGGGGCAACCAAGCCTGCAGGGAAGGGTTGGGGAGGACCAGGCCTGCAGGGAAGAGCAGTATAGGGGACCAAGTATGCAGGGGAGGGTAATTTGGGGGGGACGACCAGACAAGCAGGGGAGAGCAGTTAGGAGTGATGAGGCTGGCAGGGGAAGGCAGTTAGGGTCAATCAGGTTGGCAGGGGAGTGGTTAGGGGTGCTCAGGCTGGCAGGTAGAAGTGGTTAGGGGCAATCAGTAAGGCAGACATGCGAGCAGTTGGGAGCCAGCAGTCCTGGACTGTGAGAGGGATGTCCGACTGCCTGGTGGGATCGGCCTAACGGGCAGTCGAACATCCCCCGAGGGGTCCCAGATCGGAGAGGGTGCAAGCTGGGCTGAGGGACACCTCTAGTATATCTATCTAAAATAGTTGCATCTGATCAAAGTGTTAATTTTGCATCTAGCGAGGCTTAGCATTTCCTCCTGTTTTACTAATCAGATTGTGAATTGCCTGTTTGTTTTTAGCTTATTTCTTTGTAGTGATTTTTAAGATTTTATATTCTATAGGGTAATCCATTGCTAGTTTTATGTATTTTCCAGTCCTTTTCCTGTGTGACTTTATGTATCTTTTTAATGTGGTCAAGTATAGTAATCTGTTTGCAGGTGTAGTTGATATGTAAGATCTTCCACCCTCTAGAGTTGTGAAGATTTCTCAAGCTTCATTTTTGCTTTATTATGCAAATCAACTTCTAGCTAGTTCTTAGCTCATTATAGGAATAACCTTGCCCCAACAGTAGAATGAATACCTTGTGATAAAATGCCATAGAGGAATGAACTGTTGTTTTTGTTGTAGGTCATTCAGTGGTGCACCCACCACAAGGATGACCCTCCTCCTCCTGAGGATGATGAGAACAAAGAAAAGCGAACAGATGATATTCCTGTTTGGGACCAAGAATTTCTCAAAGTTGACCAAGGAACACTATTTGAACTAATTCTGGTAATTTTTTTTTTTTTTTTTTTTAATAAGGGAAGGCTTATTTAGAAAGTTACAGAGGCATTGGAATGTCTTTTGGAGCTTAGGAGGAAGAGGGAAAGAGGCATGTGCCTTGAGAAGATGAAAGAGGGAGGAGATGCAGAGGGGTGCAATGGAAAAAGAGAGCGCAGTAGAGAAAGGGGATGGATGAAGGTGTGGTGTGCTCCATAGAGAGCTGCTATTCTGTGTGTGTATTTAAAAAATATATATTTAATTGATTTTTTTACAGAGAGGAAGGAAGAGGGATAGAGAGTTAGAAGCATCGATTAGCTGCCTCCTGCACTATTTAAAAAATACTGGGGATGTGACCATAACCAAGGCACATGCCCTTGACCGGAATCAAAACCGGGACCCTTCAGTCCGCAGGCCGATGCTCTATCCACTGAGCCAAATCAGTTAGGGCTATTCTGGTATATTTTTAATGAACACTGTAAGATACTCTAGTTCAGCTAAAGCCGGTTTGGCTCAGTGGTAGAGTGTCGGTCTGTGGACTGAAAGGTCCTGGGTTCAATTCCGGTCAAGGGGCATGTACGTTGGTTGCGAGCACATCCCCGGTGGGGGGTGTGCAGGAGGCAGCTGGTCGATGTTTCTCATCGACGTTTCTAGCTCTCTCTCTCTCTCTCTTCCTCTCTGAAAAATCAATAATAGATATATATATATATATTTTTAAAAGATACTATAGTTCAGAGCCTTTATACTTCTTATACAGTTTAATTGACTAAATTAATTGGTACTGAGTTTTAGCAGTCTGAACTCAAATCCACATATCAATAATCACATTAAATGTAAATAGTCTAAACACCACAATTAAAGGGTAAATATTAGCACATTGGATTAAAAAGAAGCAAGACTCAGCTATGTTTCCTACAGAAAACTCCCTTTAAATATGAAGACACAGTAGATTTAAGGGGGGTTATATATTATACTAACATTAATTAAAAGAAAATTGGAGTGACTAATATATTAAGTAGAATTCAGGGCAAAGAATATTACCAGGATTAAAAAGTTATTACATAATGATAACAGTGAATCAGTTCATTATTAAGAGGGCATAGCAGTTCTAAACATTATCTGCCTAACTGCAAAACTTCCAAAAAGTTAAAAACCAATGAAACAAAGAATAATAGATAAAAAAATTACAATCATAGTTAGAAATTTCCAGGCCTTTATGAATAATTGATAAAACAAGCTGAGAAATCAGTAAGGATATAGAAGACTTACGTAACAGAAAATTACGTATAATGGCAGCAGAATACATATTCATTGTATATTCAAATAAATACTATCAAATTTTGACATGTTCTGGGCCATAAAATAAGTCTCAAGTTTGAAAGAATTCAATGTATTTTCTTATCTCAGTGGCTATCTGGAAAATCTGCAGATATTTGAAAACTAAAAAAACAAATTCTCCATGAGTTAAAGAAGAAATCAAAGAAAAATTATAAAGTATTTTGAACTGAATGGAAATAAAGCAGAATACATGAAAATCTGTGATATGCCACATAGGAGTGAACTTTTGTTTTTGTGGTAGGTCGTTCAGTGGAACACCCACCACAAGGATGACCCTCCTCTCCTGAACGTCATGAGAGGGATCCTAAACACTGATAATGGAAAAGAAGAAAAGTCTCAAATTAGTGATCTAAGCTTTTACCAAAAGAAACTAGTGAAAGATAAAATTAACCCAAAGAAAAAAGAGAATGTTAAAGAGCAGATATCAATAGAAAATGGGAAAACTAGAGAAAATCAAAGAAACCAAAAGTTATTTCAGAAGACCAATAAAATATAGTGCTGTAACTGCTTATGTTAGAATTTTTAAATATCTTGTCAAGATTTGACCGTGGTGCTTGTGCACACTTGTCGAGGGCATGCACACCCATCTACCCACCAGTTGTGGCTGTTCTTAATGTTTGAGGTGTAGCGTATATAGTTTACGTTAGGCAGCAGGAGGATTCATTATTGTAGACGTATACAAGGAAGGGTATGAACAGATAACCTTTCACAAAACCTGTCTGATTTACTCTTCATTTAATTTCTTAAAATTAACTAGCATTTTAAGATTAATTAGATATGAATTATCAATCGTTAACTTTGTATTTAGTTTAAACCATTAAATACACTTTAATGAAAACAAAAAATTATTTTACAGGCTGCAAACTATTTAGACATCAAAGGTTTGCTTGATGTTACATGCAAGACTGTTGCCAATATGATCAAGGGGAAAACCCCTGAAGAGATTCGCAAGACCTTCAATATAAAAAATGACTTTACTGAAGAAGAGGAAGCCCAGGTATGTAGTCCATAGTTTGTTCTTGATCACATGTGTTTTAAAAGAGAATGAAATCCTAACATGCCAGGAAAAGAAGTGCCTGTGTCAAAGAATGTTGACTTTATTTGAGGTATAAAAGATAGGTACTTACTATGTCTTAAAACATTACAGGTACCTTCTGTGTCCTAAAATGAGTCTAGACACTTGAATGATGCTGCTTTTTTTTTTTTTTTTTTTTAAATAATATATTTTAGCCGGGACCGGTTTGGCTCAGTAGACTGAAGGGTTCTGGGTTCGATTCCGGTCAAGGGCATGTACCTTGGTTGCGGGCATATCCCCAGTAGGGGGTGTGCAAGAGGCAGCTGATCGATGACTCTCTCTCATCGATGTTTCTAACTCTCTATCTCTCTCCCTTCCTCTCTGTATAAAATCAATAAAATATATTTAAAAAATATATATATATTTTATTGATTTTTTTTTTTTTTTTTTTTTTTTTTTTTACAGAGAGGAAGGGAGAGGGAGAGTTAAAAACATCGATGAGAGAGAAACATCGAACCAGCTGCCTCCTGCACACCTTCCAATGGGGATGTGCTCTTGACCGGAGTATATAATAATATATATATTATTGATTTCAGAGAGAGAGGAAGAGGGAGAAATAGAAACATCATTGTTGAGAGAAAATCATTGATTGGCTGTCTACTGTACGCCCCTACCAGGAATTGAGCCTGCAACCTGGTCATGTTGGAATTGAACCTTGGACCCTTTAGTCCACAGGCTGATTCTCTATCCACTGAGCAAAATATGCTAGGGATTTTTAATGTGTTTTTATTGATTTTTAGCAAGGGAAAGGGAGAGAGCAAGAGATAAAAACATAAATGACAAGAGAAAGTCATTGATTGGGTACAACTACTGGGGATGGAGCCTGCAACCTGGGCATGTGTCCTGACAGGGAATTGAACCAGTGAATTCATAGTTCCTGGGTCAATGCTAAACTGTTGAACTATACTGGCTTGGCATGCCTTTGCTTTTTTGATAATTTCAGCAGGGCAAAATACCTAGTTGGGGGGAAAGAAGGGTGACTAGGAAGTTTACTATTACCTGGTGTTTTTCCAATTTTCCATCTGTTTCTTTATGATCAACCTTAGAGGTTATTAATGAGCTATTAGGTATTAGTCTTAGAAAAGACTACTTCTTAAGTTAAGGCACTTTCTTAATATATCTATCTCTTTTTCTAGGTACGCAAAGAGAACCAGTGGTGTGAAGAGAAGTGAAAAGTTGTGCCTGACACTGTAACACTGTAAGGATTGTTCCAAATACTAGTTGCACTGCTCTGTTTATAATTGTTAATATTAGGCAAACAGTAGACAAATGCAGCAGCAAACCAATTGTATTAGCAGAATATTGTCTTCATTGCATGTGTAGTTTGGGTACAGATTCCAAACCTGTGGCTGAGTTTCTTCCAGTATGATCAAAAGTATCTTTTTTCTTTGCTCTGAATAAAACTGAATTGTGGGTTCTCTATAGAAAGTGGCATTTTGGGCTTTCCCTCTTTTTGCAAAGCGATTGCTAGTTTATTGTCTAGTTAACTTTAGTGACTTTTTGAAAGTTGGCATTGTAAATAAAACAACTTGCAAAAGTTTTCTGAAATAGAATTAACAATGTATTATCTGTATTCATGAGTTGGGAGCTGAAAAGGCTACTTGAGGTAAATGTTCTGAGTGGGATTATTGGGATGTTTCCAGCTTCCTGGAGTCAAAGAATACCACTGGTACCATATGTAGCAGGGCTTTCTTAATTGAATCTGAGGACTTATTTTTGCATTTTTAATCCTATGTTGGTTAGAGACTCAGTTACTACTCAGTTTGTGGTTTGGGGGAAAATATAACTATATAGTTGTTAGCTTTTCAATTAAAAAAGACAACCCTTGTGGTATGTCATGTTTTTATAATCAGTGATCCCATATGAGCAAAAGTATTTATACTACTTGCATGTAAAAAAAACCCCAAAATTTAAACTTTATCATTAAAATGTGTGGCAAAACCCAGAGTGCATCCAGCATGCATGCAAGATACTTTCAATAAAAAGTAAGTTACATAGTAGGTAGTGAATGGTTTGCTTTTGTGTACTTTAAGTGTGTCTCTTCACTTAGTATTAAATGAGTTAAAATTAAGTACGGTTGTTTAGCTGAAAAGACTTGTAGGCAGTACTAGGTTGCTGAATCTGCTGACATAACAATAGGTTTCTGATACTTCTGTCTCTAATGTCATTGAAAGGTTGGCTGGAGCCAGTATTTATTTATTTAAAAAAAAAAAAAAAAAATATATATATATATATATATATATATATATATATATATATATATATATATATATATATATTTAATTTTACTGATTTCAGAGAGAAGGAGAGAGAGAGAAACACCAATGATGATAGAGAACCATTGATCAAATGCCTCCTGCATTTCCCCCCACTGGGGATCGAGTCTGCAACCTGGGCATGTTTCTGACCAAGAATTGAACTTTGACCTCCTGGTTCATAGGTGGACATTCAACCATTGAGCCACACTGGCTGGGTCAGTGTTTTAATTCTTAAATGGTGTACTCAGGCACACAAAATACACTATCATTGTTTCCAGCCTCTCCCCTACAGTAGAATGAAGTTTTTTTGGTGGCATGAGATGGCTCACAAATGTGTTTCCTTTTTTCTTTCCCATTTAGCATCATTTGTATTCACAGGTAGCCTTATTGTATTCTCTTCATGAGCTGTTCTGGCCAGATTATTGACAGCAGCTTAACTCTACTTCAGCTCTTATTTGCTCCAAATCTGCCTTATTACATAAAGTCCCGTATGCTGAATCACATGAATCCCCATTTGTTGACTGTACTAGAGATAGCATACCACAGCCTGTGTGTGGGTGAAATCCAGCTCAGTAGCATTTTTGCAGTCTGTGAGTTAAAAATGTTTTTTACTTTTGTTATTTTTTAAAAAAAACTTTCTATTCTCACCCAAGGATATTTTTTTTTCAATTGATGTTAGAGGAAGGAGGAGGTGAAACAGAGACATTGATGGCAGAGACTGAAACAGGGGTCAGTTGCCTCCTGTGTCCACTTTGACCAGTAACTAAGCCTGCAACCTAGGTATGTGTCATGACCAGGAACCTACAACCTTTTGGTGTCCAGGATGATGCTCCAACAGAACCATCTAGCCAGTGCTGAGTTTTACAATTTTTAAGGGTTGTTAGATACTCACACAGAGAGCCCTGGCCAGTATGGTTCAGTTGGAGTGTTGTTCTGTACACCAAAAGGTGCCGGGTATGATCCCCAGTCAATTTAAAATTAAACACACACACACACACAGGTCTAGTACTTGACCTAAAATGTTTACTTTGTCAATCCCTGTGACTACCTCAGGATCCCTGATTCCCTTTACCCTCAGAGTAAACTTGCTTTCCATTTACCTTGGTTTTAGTGGGGAAGATGGCAGAGTTCCATCCTGGCTGGAGTAATCATCCCAAGTCAATATTATGACAAACACAAATCTTCACTGAAAGCCAAAGATTGTTAGCATATGCTGTGTTTAATTGGGAAACTTAAGTATTAGCTTCTAGGAAACAAAAGCTTATTACTGTTAGCTCTTGATCTGTATAATTCCCCCAAATTGTTAGGATTATAAGACTAAATAACTTTACTACCTGTATATAAATAGCTAAAATAAGTGGACAGACAATAGAGTAGTTCAAATTTTTGTTCCCTTCCTTTCTGCAGTCCCAATAATCTTAAACTCACTTATATACCGTATATAAAAGCCTAAGCAACTGAACGACTGGTTGCTGTGATGTACACAGCCAACCTCCCGTGTTCTCCTCCTCCTGGCTTGCTGGCCTCAATTGCCCTGATGCCAGGGCCAGCTGGCCAACCTCCCCCAGTCCCCTCTCCTCGGCCAACCAGCCCAGCTGGCCCCAATCGCTGTCCAGGCGAAGGGACCCCACTTGTGCACAAATCTGTGCACTGGGCTTCTAGTGTTTAATATAGATCTGACAGCTCTTCTAAGAGTAGGCCATTTATAGGTATTGTGTACCCAAATGAAACATAGGCTTGATGTTAAGAGGCTCTTCCGTCTAGCAGCAGCACTCTTTTCCTATGCTTTTCCCTCTTTCTTGCTATCTGCTATTTTTTATGTCTACCAAGAATTTCCACACTCTCATCTTATGCGATTGGCCCTTTCCCATAGTAGCCAAACCTATCTTCAAAAATAATACCCACTCCTGCCTGTCCTCACACTTCCCAGCTTTTCTAAACTAATATTGTGGCATGAAGTCATAGTGTAAGGCTGGAGTCCTTTTTAATGTCTGCATGGCCTAGATAAGTTGGAAACAGTAGTTAATTTGCATTGTGGTGCTATTGGTGATTAATACCTCTGTGAGAGTCATTTGGCTTTTCATTTTTTTCATTGACTATGTCACTTGTGATAGAAAATTAAACCAAAGCCCTTATTAGTTCTCCCTAACATTGTCATGGACTGAGGATGTAGCTCCTCAAATAGATTCTAATTTTAAATTGTAAAAGCAAGTTACTTCTTTTAAAAAAAAAAAAAATATATATATATATATATATATATTTATATATATATATATATATATAAATATATATATATCCCTCTCCTTCCTCTCTGTAAAAAAATCAATATATATATAGATTTTTTTTACAGAGAGGAAGGAGAGGGATAGAGTCAGAAACATCAATGGGAGAAACATCAATCAACTGCCTCTTGCACACCCCCTACTGGGGATGTGCCCGCAACCAAGGTACATGCCCTTGACAGGAGTCGAACCTGGGACCTTTCAGTCTGCAGACCAATGCTCTATCCACTGAGCCAAACTGGTTTCGGGGCAAGTTACTTCTTTTGAAGTGGTTATACAGGCAGATCTTGTTTTCTTGCATTTCACTTCATGGCACTTAACAGATTTTTTAAAAAATATTTTATTGATTTCTTAGAGGGATAGAGAGCTAGACACATTGATGAGAGGGAAACATCGAACAGCTGCCTCCTGCACACCTCATACTGGGGATGTGCCCGCAACCAAGGTACATGCCCTTGACCAGAATTGAACCTGGGACCTCTTAGTCCACAGACCCATGCTCTACCACTGAGCCAAACCGGTTTTGGCAACATACATTTGTTTTCTGATCCAAGGGTAAATTAAAAAATTATAGATAGGTTGTCTAGGCTCTTAATAGGGCAGTTTGAATAAGGATAGGATGGGACTTTCACCAGGAATGAAAACTGAGAACAGCAGACTTCATGCTCTGAGCACCCTTTACCATATCCATAGACATCAGAATCTCACTCATCTTTCAAAGCTTAACTTGTTTGCCACAATTGGCATGGTTGTTTGAGAGGAACCCTAATTTCCTCTCATTTTTATTTTTCTGAAGCTGAGTATACATTCAAGTGGGGAGGACTCAAATGTTTTCCCTACTAAGTTGCTTGAGCTTTAAAAAGTTGATAATGTTCGATTATCTAGATTTGTGTGAAAGCTGATTTCCAGCTAGGAAGGAGGAGAATAAGGGAGAATAATGCAAGTAAAAGCAAAGCATATGAAATGGTTGAATACTTAAAATGTAGCTCTTGGCTTATCCTTTGTAAGAAGAGTAAGATATGGTTGCCTGCTTGGGAGCTTTTCAAGTAGGGTCTAGGAGAGGTTTCATGAGGAAAATTTAGTTAGTTTCAAAAGTGAAGCTGTATTTGGGTGTGGGGTGGGGGAATGCCAAGGTGAGGGAGGGAAAGTTGTGCTCAGTCTGGAACTGGCGGCAAAGGCTGGCGATTATTGGCTGGAAAGAAACATTAAGGGCAGATTGGCAGGATTTTTGTGACACGAGGATGAGTGTTTATCATACTCATGTTACTAGATACTGCTATTTTTGAGTGTTAGAACTTAAACTTTTTTAATTGCTGGACTAAAGTATTCTGAATATTGAGGGTTTTTACAACTAGACTGCTTATTTTACTGTTTTTAAAAATCACTATATTTGAGTCCAGTCAACGTTTGGTGGTTGAGCATTGACTTATGAACCAGGTCGTCACATTTTTGATTCCCAGTAGGACACATGCCTGGGTTGTGGGCTCCATCCCCACTGTGAGGAGGCAGCCAATCAGTGATTCTCTTAGAAACATCATTGATGTTTCTGTCTCTCTTCCTTCCTCTCTGGAATCAGTAAAGAATATTTTTTTAAAAATCACTGTATCTCGCCGGGACCGGTTTGGCTCAGTGGATAGAGCTTCGGCCTGCGGGCTGAAAGGTCCCGGGTTCGATTCCGGTCAAGGGCATGTATCTTGGTTGCGGGCACATCCCCAGTAGGGGTGTGCAAGAGGCAGTGGTAGATGTTTCTCTCTCATTGACGTTTCTAACTCTCTGTCCCTCTCAATTCCTCTCTGTGTAAAATCAATAAAATATATTTTTTTTAAAAAATCACTGTATCTTTAAAAAGAAGGAAGAATAAGAACTCAGTGAATATATCAAGACAAAGAATGATGTAAGAAGTAGTTTAGAACATCCTTGGAATAAGATTGAGTCACTTGGATACCTAAGCAGGATTTGGACACTTGGTTGTTCTGGGTTGTTCCTGTTGACTTGTCAGTAGTTGAGCATTGTTGGTGGTATAAAAGTGTTCGTTTAATTCATGGCTAACTGCTAGCTTGCAGAATTTTGCACTTTTGGATAAAGCTGTTCCATGTGCTAGTACTTGAGGCATTTTGTGGATGATGTAGGTAGTTGCTCACAATATCTGCTTCCACTTCTCTTGTACTCATGACCTCTAAAACCACTGAACTTGATATATTCAGGAACTATTTAATGAGCACCTAACCTGCTATATGCCTGCCTCTTGTTTCACTCTCAGGATCAGCCTATTTCATAAAAGTTTTCTTACTTTTTCAGTACTTCCCACCTGTATGGTGCAAATTCATATGCCCTTTCTGTGTTTACCATGCCATTTCACAACCTCAACTTTTTTTTTTTTGCTTCAAATGGTTTGCAGATATGTCTGTCTCAGCAGGTTTACAGGAGGGGTAGGAATACAGAGCACTATATTCTCAGAAATTTATATTTAAGGGGTTTCCAGAGTGACATTAAGGGTGATGGTAAGTGGAATGTAACTCCTCCTCATTTCTTTCTCCCACCCTTGACATTGACTGTACAACATGTCTGAAGACTTCTGATTAAGGAATGAGAGAACACTGAATGAAAAAGTAAACCATTTGATAGTCCAGAGCCTCTTGTGAACTTGAAATAAGTATCAGCCTGAACTTCTAATTAACTATCTCATAATTCATGGTTACTGAAATATCCCTTTTATTGCTAGTGATCTAACTCATAAGTATAGCCAGGGATAGGATAATTCCTAACCCTAGTATAGAATTTGCCCTTTCCAGTTAATTCTATGCCCAATCCCATACTATCTTTTATTTCAAAATTTCTTCTAACCTGAGCTAGGCTTTTATTCTACAGAACTATGGGAATATCCTTATCTGTTCTTTTTAAAAACTCTCTGCTGTTTGAATACATGAAATTAGGATTCCTCTCAAAGAACCATGCCCATTGTGGGCAAGTCTGGGATTATAATTTCCAGTGGCCTACTTTAAATAGAAGTCCAGTTAAAAGCCTAGCTGCTCCAGACATTGGAGAGCCCAGAAACCTGAGTTGAGAGTCCTGTGGTGATTTGAGATCTCAGAAAGTTAAGTGGTTGGAATAGTTGGGATCGGGAGAGTTGACTCAACCTAAGAACCAGGATCTGCTTGCATAGCCAGTTTGGTCTCAAGGATCCATCATGAACTATTTAAAGTTCTGAAAAGACCTGAGAAAAACTCATGTTAAATAGCCTTTCCAACCTCAAAAGCCAATTCAGTGTTTTTATGTTATGAATTACTTTTTGGTCTCAAATCTTCTACTTTGTTATTATGCACAGCAAATTTCTTCTGTGCTTCTAGTAATGCACACAACAATCAATTCCTTTTTTGGAACAATGTCAAGAACTATTTCTCTTCCCTCCAGGAGTGGCCTTCCTGTCCAGGATTATTGTACAATGAATAGCTATGCTTCTGGGCCACTCAAGATAGTTAACAGCTCAGAAGAGCCCAGCTCTGGGGCTTCCTATAAAAGGGAGAAACATCTTTAAATTGGGAAATCCCTGCTAGTTTTGCCATGCTAAGCCATCACAATATCCTGAGTACAGTGGGAGCAGCTGCAACAGGAGAGGGCTTCAGATGTGTATTTCAAGCAAATTATGCCAGTTGTGTGGGAACGTGTAGAGGAGGTGTTATTTTGTTTCAGGTCTCAGAAAATGAGGCTGGTTCTTGGCTAGCAGTAAGGTGGAACTGGTAAGGTGTTTGAAGTTGAATTAGACTCCATTCTCAAGTCACCATGAGACTTCATAAGAATGTGTGTGATCCAGGAGGTTTGAATTTCCTCTTTGATGTCAGTTTTTAAAAACGCCCCCCCCCCTTACTACCCTCACATACACAAAGAGTGCATTGTTCATGTACCCAAAGACATCTAATCAGATGCAGCAACCCAGTCTTGCATAAGCCTTGGTTAGAAAGTAGTTTTTTGTGTTTTTTTTTTTGAAACATCTAGGCCAGTAGCCAGAGCGGAATTCTTTAAATGGGACAGATGTCAAGTCAATGGCTGATCTCCTCTACACCCTTCCATTGTAAACTCCAGGATTACAATACTCAGTGGCCTACTTAAATAAACACTACTCTGACTGTATAAATACTTAAAACACAAAGTCCAATAAATATAACGCAATGACAATTACAATGCATGATGGTGGCCCAGTGGCTGCTTGTATACAGTTGTGTGTATACCTAATGGTTGACTGACCTATTGAGGTGGCTTTATGACCCCTTTACATTCATAATGGGTCTTAAAAAAAGTTAACACCATACTTTAATGGAAGCTGTGTAAAAAGTAGGTTGCAGAATTATCAGGTTTTATATGTAAAAATACAGAGATACCTCTAGCACCTTAGTTTTTGGGAGGAATGGGTTCTGTTAAATATTTTTTGGAGTTTATACCAGTACATAAAAACTTATTTCCCTTGTAATTGGGTATGTACTTATGGAGCGGTTAGTTTAATCTCAACTCTCAGAGAAAACAGAACCTAGTGGTCATGTACACCTATTTCTAGTTGGATTTTGTCTTAGGGTCGGTCTGTAGATAGCAGTTTCTAACATTCTTATGGGTGTGGGAAGTAGGCAGGCCTCTGCCTGCACCAATTTTTAGGTCAGAAGGTTGGAGGATTCAGAGCAAGGCTTGGAATGGGATCTTAGTCGCAGCAAGAGCTGGGTAGGACCAAGCCCCTTAGGAGAAATTGGAGTAATCCCCAACTTCTGTAGGTTGAGTCTTTAACATGTGTACCATAGTAGAGAATAAACCCCAAGTTTCATGGCTATGAAGAAAATTATGCTATTTCTGAAAACAGCTTATTCCTCAGGGTCAAGCTTTGAGGAGAGAAAAAAAAACACACAGGGAAAAGTATCTTTATTCTCATGTTTAAAGTTTTTCTATGACGATGTATTAATACAAAAATACTTTGAATACTACAATGGTTCTTTTTTCTCAAAACTTTCTGCAACACTACACTAGAATATATGATCTTTGGAATCTGAAAAGCCAGTGGCTAAAGTAGGAATTAAAGGCATTTGTTGTAGGGTGTATGTGGGTACAGAGACAGCCCTTTTTCTTTGGAATCAGACTATGTATGGTGAGGAGGCAAAAAAGGTTAAATTAAGATTTTTTTTTTTTTTTTTTTAAAGGCTCAGGGTTGAAGCTTGGCTCATAAACTGGTTAAATTAGGCCTTGGTGAAAACTCAGTGTCTACCCCTAAAGGTTTTCTGGGCTTATTGTTTTGGTTGTAATAGTTCTCATTCCCACAGAACCATAGGAAATCTGAAGTTTGCCTGGTTCATGCTGGAAGATAGACACTGGCTGTACAAAAGGTTGGGTTTGCCTTCACCACTGCCCAAGCGGTGGATAAGCTAGAAATGGATCTGTGACAAAGGCCCTCAGAGTGGGGAGGGATGTACACTGAATTTGGGGCCATAACTTCTTTGAACTATTGACTACAGCCACCAGTAACAGGTCTTGGGGCTTTGGTATCAGGGCTTCTTAGGCGATTGAGTTTCTCAGGAACCATTTCCAAGTAATTGAAGTAGAGAGCCAGATTAAGGTAGTGTCAGGTTTTTCTGTTGCCTAGGGTGATTGATTTAAACTAACCTGTTCATCCCCTCCTCTTACAAGCTCCTGAGAATTCGGCAAGATTCCTCTGGCCCAGCTTAAAAATGGTAGCTAGTTTTCTGTAAAACATGGCTTTTCCAGGCCCTCAAGAGAAAAGTACTGTTGTCTTGAGCGCTGTGGTGACCAGGCTTATGTGTTTGATAAACGAACTCATTCTTGGTCCATGGGTGTCTAGTATGGGGAGGGTGTAGCAGTGGAGGGGGCAGTGAGGAGGCAGGGTAGAGAAAGCAGCTGACTCAGTGTAGTCCATCTATGATCTATAGCAGAAAAGGGAGGGAGGTAGGGGTATCTGGCTAACAAGACAGATGGTAAAAATGCAGGCTGCCACAGGCACAGGAGATGCCCTTAATCAAATGACAACACATATCTGATGCACCACTCCGAGCAGTTTGAATTGATGGCCCAAGATTCAGGCAGAAGTTGTGCAGCCTCTGAAATCTCCAGCACCTGGATCTTAAGAAGGAGTTAATAGGGCCCCTGATTGGTTTCCATGTGCTTTGGGGCTCTGTTGCTGCTTCTGAAAGAGTGGTTCCTTGGAGGAGACCAGGTGTCCTGTGCATGCTAGGCTGCCTGCCTCCGAAATTCCTGTTGCTGTACCTGTGTACTCTGCAGGGCACTGCTGGCCCGTGGGGACCCAAGGGGCTGGGAGGCTGAGTGCCGCAGAGAGACCTGGTGATGTAGGCGCCGGTTCCGCAGGGCTAGCAAGTAGTGCAGTAGGGAAGTGAGGCAGCAGGAGGTATGAGGGTGAGTCCTGGGGGACTGGGGACCCGGAGCAGCCTAGAGTACTGTCATCGGAAGGAAAGGGGCTGGGGCAGCGGCCTTCTCCGGGTAAGTACCGAATGCATTTCTTTTTCCTCCTAGGAATAGTGAAGAGAGTTATCTGTAAACAGAGGGTGAATTCATAGTCACACACCACAACCAAAAAATGCTGTCCTTGCACAGGCCTAGCTGACATCCCCTTTCCCCACAGTATTTGGATATGCTTGTCCTTCAGACTTGAATCAGCACTGCAACTCTGCTGGGCCTGGCCCAGACCTGGGACAGGTGCAGTTGCCTGCACAACCACATGGTGGCACAGGGACCTTTTGTAGTTGGACCTGTGGGCTGCTTTGTTTTCCAGGAGAGCCATTGAGCCTCTACAATCATGTATGTTTATGGGGCTCAGATCATCAGCTCCAATGCTTGTGGTTTCCTGGGCTGAGCAATCTCAGGGCTCAAAGCCAGGTTAGGAGTAGAGAAGGAAATAGAAATGAACAGTGATTCTTTGAGTCTTCTCATTCATTCTTATTGAGTTCTTTGGGCCACAATTTGTCTCCGATTGTGGAATGGGTAAAGTAGGACTTTCCCTGAGGACAGGGTTGCCTCATCATGTTTATATATACATGCACACATTACCCAAGATTTCTCTTTACCCTTTGATAAAGGAGCATGAGGGCACTGAGGGGCTGCACAAATATTCCTTAATTAACTGCTAAAACTAGCCTCAGCCTTTGCCCTATCAGGCCTGGCATGAACCTAAACTAGGCAACTTTTAGCCACTTGATAGGCATACCTTCTTTTAGTATACATAGGAATATTTTCTGTTATGAGGTGAAACCTTTGTGTGGCCCTTTGGTTAGGACAGTCCTCTGTTCTCAATATGTACAAAATGGTGAATCACTTGGCATCTAGGTTACTCATGATATTCTCTATTATATTTACCTTATTTTTCTTAGACTTATGGGCTCAGACAGGAATCTCAACTAAAGTGATGGAGCTGGTTGACCAGCCACCTGAATGGTGTGAGGTTTGGCTGCTGAGGACCAACTGGGCCTGGTTAGTACCAAACCATCATTAGCAAAGGATCCTAGACACCAGAACTATCTTCTTGAGCTGCCTTTCCTTCCCTTCTAGAATATTCCCCCACTCCTTCCACTTAGGTCCAAGAGATCTTCTCTACAAGATGTGTATTTATTCCCATTCTTAGGAGGCAAAGGCTCTACAATCTGCAGGTATCCTATGGGGCTTGAGGGGCCACAGAAAGGCTTACATAAGCCCAGCAGAACATGTGCAGAATCAAGGAAGCAGCTTGAAGCAAAGGGAAGATGGTGGTGGGGACAAACCCACCTGCACGGACCACACCAATCCGTCTGCTGGTTGAGGCCAAAGCGAGCACGGCATTTCTTAGGCGAGCCAGGGTCTGCTCACAGCCATGCCAGAGGGGCAGAGCAGGGCAGAGGGCGAGCAGGCAGGCAGCAGGGCAGAGCAGGGCCCAGAAAGAAGAGGTAACATCAGTGTTAGCTAGTCACAGATATCCCACAGCCCCCACAGGCAGAGGGCCTCTCCACGGCACAGCCAGCCCCAGTGGGAGCCCTATGGCCCAGAGTCGAGATGTTTGGAAAGGTGGGCATGGCACCCAATTGGGCAAAAGAGGCAGTGGGAAGAATGGTGGGGAAGAGAAAGGACCATCAGGCTAGCTCCTTTCTGTGGCTTGAGGGGCCACTTGCAGTATGGGAGCTGTGGCAAAAGAATCCAGGGATGCCCATCGGGATCCAGATCCAACCTCTTCTTCCTTAGGGCTGCCTCCACCCCAAAACTCCCATTTTCTATCTGCCTGACACTTCTCTCCTCGTGCTATAACTAAAACATTCCACACCTTTCTATATGAAAAGTAAAGTCCATTCTGCAACTTCAGAAAAATAGCTGAGGCCTGCCCTGCCCTGGTTGTAGCATGTGGGAACAGCACTGTTGAGAGAGTCATTCATGAATGTGGATCAGAATTGGGGCAGGAATCTATCTAGAAAAAGGGTGTGGACTCTTGCAACAGAGTGTGGGCTCCCTGGGTCCTCTATATAGAGCACTTAGAACCTGCAATGAAAAACAGGGTGTTTGGGAGTTGGGTACAGTGTGATAGAGAAATTGCTGGGCACCAGCCAGCAAGCTGGGTGATTACTGGGCCTAGCCATGGGGCCTGGCTCAGTCTCCAGACAATCTGCTGTCCACCTCAGAACAAATCAGGATGCAGTGTTTGGGTTTAACAAGAATCAGACAGTCAGTTCCTTACTTACTTTCTCTGACAGGCAAGCTGTGAGCAGGATGGGGTTAGCCAAGGGAGTGTGTTGGGCCTATACTGTTGCTACATGAATTGGCTTCTGCTAGGACTTAGTATAGCTATTCCTAAAGTAGGGATCTGACTTGTGAGATGCCAGGTGTTGTATCCGGAGCCCAGGCATTGAAGGTTCATGGCCAACTAATCTGCCCCTCCCTCTGGGCTAGAACAGTGATGTTTGTCACAGGGACCTGGAGAGGAGCCTCCACTACTGCTGAGGGAAGGCCTCACCTGTGTTGGATTCTTGGTGCTTCTCCCTGGACCGTCTCTTCTTCTTCCCCTGCAGGGAATAAAGGGAATAAAGATGTGGGATTTCAGAAGTAGGAGGTTGACACTAATCCCAGTGAGCAAACAGCTGGGATGTCTGCAGCTTAGCCTGGCTGATGCTAGGATTCCACGGACAGTTTTTTTATTGCAGTTTTTTCTAGGTAATATGGGGCAATTAGGGATTCCTCCTCCCTGTCTCACACTTATCTCTATTTTAATGGAAGAGTAATTTCCAGGCCCTTCCCTTCCGCTCATGCGCCCCAATCAAAAACTGGGAAACAGTCCTGAATGGGAGTAGATCCTGAGTAGAAAACAGGACACGGTCTGCCTTCAGGGCGATTCCCCTTGCTTGATCTCCTGAGCTAGCCACAGGAGGTCATGAACTCTCCACCAGTCCACCACCTCCCCTCATCTGTGCCTTCAAATAGTCCTTGCTTGCTGTGTCCCAGGGCATGGAATCTTGAAGGTTCTCCTACCGATCCCTACTGTGTGTTGTTGGCCACTCACGTAATTGTCCCGCGCTGACCAGCCTGGGTATAGCTGCATGTGCAGCTGCCTCTCCTTGCGGGCCAGCTCGTAATACTTGGCCTGTTCTTCCCGTGACAGTGCGTGCCACTGCAAAGGGGAAGGAGGGACAGATGGGATGTGTCAGGGAATCAGCAGGCTGCATCACCCCTGCCAGCCCACCTGCCTATGGCCTCACCCTGCGGCCCAGGATCTGGTTGATGGCAGCACTCTCCTTGAGTGTGCACTCTGCAATAACCTTGGCTCTCATCTCCTTCATGTACAGCATGAAGGCATTGAGTGGCTTCTTGATGGTTGGTTTCTTGGCCTCCTTTTCTGCCTTGGATTCTGCCTGTGTCTTCCTGGAACACATGTCCAGATCACTTGGGAGTCCCCACAGTGCCCACCTCATGCTACCACCCTGTAGTGTGTCCAGTGCATGTATAAGTGCATGGATACCAGGTTTTTTGTTTTTTAATGAAATTTTGTATTTTTTGTGTGTTTTCTTAGCTGCTCAAAATGAGTGAGCAGAGTTAAGTATTTGTTCCTATAGGAATATTGCAGCTAAGTTAGAAAAGTATGTGTGTAGACCTCTCAGCCCCTCCATTCTTGGCTCAGACTAAAGCCTTGTTTCTCACTTCACCCAATCCCTCCTGCTTCTGAGCCTCCAAAAACAGTAGTCCATGGCAGTATCTACAAAACAGTTTGACCAAAGGCTTCCTCTGGCAGGACTTGGGCTTGGTGGAAGAAATGTGTATCCCGGCTGACAAATAGATGTGAGCCTGCAGCCTGCTCCCTGTGCCCCCACCCCACCTCACCCCTGCATCCCCTCATTCTGTGCCTTTTCACTCACAGGTTTCGATCATAAGGCTGTAGTTCCTGCTTCCCTGAGGGGGGCACAATGGCCGGGTGGGGAATGGCTGCTGGGTGACCAGGTACACTGGAACCTAGCATCAGGGATGGGTGGGTGAACCTAGAGGCAGGAGGAAAGTTAACACTGAGTCAGGTGTGTGCAGGACAAATCCTGGCACACACAGAGGCCCTGTACATTAAACAACAGGTGAACAGATACCCCACCCTCATTGGCTTGCATACAAGTACACTGATACATACAAATACCTGCTCCCAACATATCACAAAGACATCATTGCAAACATCTTTTAGATGGTTACTAAATTAAGCCCTACATAGCTTCTGAGTCTCCCCTTGTCGTCATCTGCCCTCACCAGCTCAGCCTCATGAGCCTGTGACTACCCTGTGTGCTTCCTCATTCTCCTGACTCTTCTAGGACTCTCTCCACCAACAGCCAACGTGACCTTTTAAAAACACCGGAGTGCTCCTGACTACTCTTGCTGAAATTCTCCCTTTGCCTAGAGCCTTGCTGACATATCAAGCCCCATCTTTTCCCCCATTTTCCATCACTTCCCACCTCCAGCCATCCCCTGCTACTCGGGAGATGTTAACCCTTTTCATGAAGCTCTCTGTGACCCATTAAATCAGGCTGAGGTCTCCTTGGGGCTTTCCCATTACCCACAGGGCATAGCCCAATTCAGCTGCTGGTGTGGTGTCTACACCTCCTACCCTCTAGGCAGTGAACTCCACAGGGCTGAAATGTCTGAGTCCCTTATTCCACGTCACTAAGGGAGTGAGCTAAATAAAGGGGCTTACATACACACAACTCCCACTTTCTTGCTGTTGTATGGCTACTACTCTGCTTCCTGCTGCTTAACTGGTATAGGGTGTCTGAGCAGGCCAGAGGTTGGAGACACAAGTAAAAAATGCTGCCTCAGCTTGGGCGGAGCTCAGGGAATGCCCAGGGGAATTCTGACTAGCCCCTCCCTCAGCAGGAATTCAGAACAGAGATGAATACATACAGACCTGCACACAGACTGACTTGCACATGCACAGAGGCAGGAGCACAAGCACATGTGTGCATGTACTGTCCCTGGCTGCTTTGTTGTGCTCTGCTGCACAGTTTGGCCTGGGTTTAGAACTCTTGCAGCCCCTTTGACTTAATTCTCAGACACAAGGCAGCAAGGTGCTGCAGAATGACAGACAGACGGAAGGACAGACAACTAGCACAGGGCAAGCAGTGGCCTGGACATGGCCTTGGGTGGGCATTGAAGCCTGGGCAACAGAAAGCAGGAGCCTGGCTGCAGGGCAGGGGACTCACCTGGGATAGGGGGCGCCAGGGGCTGCAGTGGGGGCAGGGAAGTGCTGTCTATATCCGCAGGAAGGGGACAGGGGATAGAGAGGAGGGCTGGGCCTGTGGTTGGGAAAGACAGCTGTTAGCAGTCTGGCTACTGGCTCTTATGTGGGAAAGGACTCCCCTTTATGCTCAGGCCTGACCCATAGATGAGAGATAAATTGGCTTCTGCTTGGACCACTCCAATTTGTGATTTAACCATCTGCCACCAGAGGGCAACCTAGGCTGCACCTATTTCCCTCTACAGGCTAGTACTGGTGCTTAAGGGGCAGAAATGACAGCTTTCTCTGGGGACCAGCTTAGCAGGCCCCCAGGTCCTCTCTAGCCTAGCCTCTTGAAATGACCTGCACACAGACTGGTCCAGGGCTTACGCTCAAGCAGGCACAATTGAGGCAAGGAGGGCCCCTGCCCCTCAAGCAACTCGGTCAATGAAGGGTCCAGCCAGCAGTAGGCATTGAGGTGAGTGGGAAGTATCCTTCTGCCCACCAGGTAGCTGAGAAGCAACAACCTCTCTATGGCCATTCATGCTGTTATCTCCCTGCTCAGGCTTACCGTTCCTTCCTCACATGGACAGTCCAAGGTTCTCTCATTCAAGTCTCAGACAGTGAAGCAGAGTTCAGGGATGACAGGGCTGGGACTGTAACCTAGTCTCCAGTCTTGCCAAAAGGAATATATCAGGCTGTCTGAGGAATGATAGAGCTGCTAGCCAGCTCTGGTATATATATTTGGCAGCAGGGTGCTCAGCACAGGATGGAAAAAAGGACAGGTAACAATCTAAACAAGAAGGTGCCCCTTTCCCACTGGGCCCACACTCACCAGCTCACAGTGTGGGGGAGCTGTCCCATGCTGCCTGAGGTCAGAGAGTAGAAGCCAGAGATGTCAGAAGTCTGCAGAGGCCTGTGAACTGCAGTGGAGAGGGCCAAGTGAGCTAGCCTGACTTGGAGACCACTTTAGCTACTTACTGCATTCTAGAGCTTCCTGTGGGGGCCTTCTAAGATCCCACCCTCCATGTTAGAGTACTAACATGCTTTGTCAGGACTACCCCAGTGTGATAACAGTGCTGCCTTTATAGGCTAGGGAACCAAAAGCAGAAGGGTTGGAGGATAGGTAACTTGCCTAAGGACACTGGCTGGTCAGTGGCAGAGATGGAGTCATTCAGGAATGGCAGGCCAGGCCTTGCCGCTGATAGTCAGCAACTGAGGCCTCTACTGCATCTCCCCCCACTCCCCCACCCCAAGTCTGGGGGAACCTGGCCTGTGGAGCCAGGGTTTCAAGCACCCCCTTTGAGTCAGCAGGTTTCCCACAGTCGACAGTGGCTGATTTCAGAATGACTTTGCCTGAGGCTGAGGTGAATCAGCCATCACAACCACCACTTTCCATTTTCTCACTGGGGGAGGGAACAGCTACAAGTTTTATAGTTAATCAGCTTTACACAGATGCCAGCTCTCATACTGGCATTGGGAGGTCACTCAGGATTTAGGTTTCTACCTCAACTTGAAGCCTTCAGATTCTGACCTGGCACCATCTCCCCAGCCCTCTGGTACCTCCATGTTCCTGACCCACTTTTCTGGCATCTAGGAGGGCCCCAATTTTGCACAGCACTAGGTTCTCCAGTTGTAAAAAGGGCCCAGCCACCTGTGTCATTGGGCCCCTCCCCATCCCAGATCTGTACCTTGCTTCTGGTTGATGTCGGCCGGTGCAGGTGTAGGGTGTGGGCTGCTGAAATGTTCATAAAGAGGAGAGAGTTGGGGGACGCCATGGGCAGGCTGACTGGCCTTGTTGTGCTGAAAAAATTAGGAGGATGGATGATTGTGGGGAGACCTGAGGCAGGAAGGCACAGGGCTTGAGGCTATAGCTGAGGGGATGACGGGGGGCAGCCCAATTGTCAAAGGAAAATGGGAGTGGTCAAAACCATAATCCTGATAGGAGGGGTACCCAAACCAAGCTGTGTCCAATGACCTCCTCCTCCTCCCCAGATTTGCTCAAGCTATCCCACCTCATAGAGTGTGTGCACATTCCAGGAGACACATCTTCCCTGTCCACAAAATTCTTGCTGGCTCCCAGTTTCAGACATACTCCAGTTTTTTTGAGGCCCTATGACTTGCTCAGAGCCTCTGGGCCGATGGTTCTCAACCTTTCTAATGTAAATATCTGTGTTTTCCAATGGTCTTAGGCTCTACAGAATCTGTGGGTCTCTGTAGAGCCTGAGACAGTTTGAAAACACAGATATTTACATTACAATTCATTACAGTAGCGAAATTACAGTTATGAAGTAGCAAATAAAATAATTTTATGGTTGGGGGACACCACAACATGAGGAACAGTATTAAAGGGTCTCGGCATTAAAAAGGTTGAGAACCACTACTCTAGGCTGATACATCAGGATATGGTCTTAGGAGCTTTCTTTCCTTCTCTAGCCCTCAGACTAGGGGTCCTGACTCTGACCTTCTGTGCCACCTCAGGCTTAATAGGATTTGTTGACACAGGCAAGAGCCCCCACTCAGCCCTCTAAATCAGGGGAGAGGCCAAGTGGGGCCAGGCTTCCCCCAGGGCCAACCCACCCAACCCCACACTTCCTGTTTGCTCATACCACAGGACTCTTACTTTTCATACTAGTCACATGGATCTGTCATGAGATGACTCAGGCCGAGATGGGGGCTCCCCATTTGACCCAGGCATTGGGAGTTGTTGCTCAGGGCCAAGGCCCAACTCTGCATATCCTCAGCACACATCTGTATGGCCCAAGGCCATGGAGACATCATCTACAACTGAGGCCCAACTTCCACTCAGAAAAGTTCATCTGTGGGGATGCTTGGAGCACTAATGAGTGACTTCTGATCCATGGCACAGAAGGAATGGGATATCTCTGGGACAAGACAATGAGAGGTTATGGCCCTGTGGGTGAAATCTCTCACTAGTGTAATTTAGCCCAACTCCTAAACATCTCGGCACAGGTCTTTTTGGCACTGGCTGTTGGGGTCCAGGGTGAGGCTGCAGGGAAGATGGGGTAAGAACTGTATAGAGTCAAAGTGTGAGGTTACCAGGTGGGCACAGGCTCCCATACCTCCCAGCAACAGTTCTGGCCTCCATCGTTCCTAATTCCTGCCTCCATGGAAGCTTGAGGCTGGGCTATAAATTGCATCCTTCACTTCAGGGAAGGTACTGACACCGCCACCTATCAGTCTCCTGCTCATCTGCCCACCAGGATCAATCTTACATTCCAGAGCTAATTAGCCTGCCTTTTGTCCTCAGGCAGACAGGGTTAGATGTCCCCATAGCAGTGGCTCCTCCTTTGCAACTGGCGTACATATGGCACCATAGCACCTTCCTGAGCTGGATGCCTTACCTCTGACTGAGCCCTCCTGGCCTCCTTGGGCAGGGCAGGGGAGCCTCCCTCTGTCACTCCCAGGGAGGGCTCTCTTCTGTGAACTTGAGGAAGAGTGGGCCAACCATGTTCAGCTCCTATTTCTAACATGTGTGGCCTTCAAGGACTTACTACAATATCTGAGCATACATTTCCTTGCAAAATGGAGATGATCAGAAGGTTGTTGTGAGGATAAAAACCAGACAATACCCAAGAGCTCAATTATTTAGGTGTCAGGCAATGAGGAAGGGACATGTAGGAAGCCTCTTTTTCATCCTACAGAGCTTTCACAGGTGCAGAGAAAATGCCACTCAGTGTTTCCCTAGCCCTCTGGTGCTGGTCCCCACACAGGCCAGACAGCTTGGGCTTGATTATGCCAAGTGTGTGGGGGGGATTGAGGGAAGGGGAGTGTTGCCTGGAGATGGCAGCATCACCTGGGGAGGGTGATGTAGCACCATGCAGTCCCCAGGCCTTGGGTGCTGTGACATTCCTGTTGCTGTTCTGAGGCCAGGTTTCCTGGGGAGTCTCGTGCCAACCCCAGGCTTGCTTTTATTTCCAGCACTGAGCTCAGACACAACTGACAGTGTGGGAATGGAAGGTGGGATGTAGGATCATCAGGCCTGCAGGAGGCTGGAAAGCGGAGGGGGCCGGGACAGCTGTTGGGTATGTGGATGCATGTGAAATCCTTCATATACTTAGTGCCAGGTACTATGCCAAACACTTTGCAAGCCCAGTCTCATTTCTATCAGAGTACTTACTGACTCTCATTTCTCATATCTGTAAATCCTCCCCCAGCTACTACCTACCTCGTGTTTCATTCCCCTTTTTATTGAAAACCTCAACAGATCTGTCCGCATTCACTTCTCCAGTTCTCAGCTCTCGTCCTCTCTCCAACCTAGCTAGTCTCTTGCCCTATCACTTCACCAGATGACTCTTGCCAAAGTCTCCATGACTTCCATGTTGCTGATCTGATTTCCCCCTCCTCCTTGAAACAGTTTCCTCATTAGTCCTCCACAATGGAATTCCACACTTAACCTGATTTTTCTCTAACTTCACAGGCTACTCCTCAGTTTTGGTTCCATCTCCTCATCCTCTTCTTGACCTGACCCAAAATTGGTCTTCAGTTCACTCCCAGAATGCTCTAATCCATAGCTTTAAGCATCTTCATCTGATGACTCCACAGGACAAAAGACAGTTCATTTATATCTCTAGCCCTAACTTCTCCTAGAAACTCTCCTCTCCAAATGCTTGCTTATAAACTACTCAGAGGTCTAAAATGCTACCCAGATTCAATACGTCCAAAGCAAAACCTCTGACTTTCTGTCCCAAATGCTCCTTTCCATCTTCCTCAATTAATGGCAACTCCATTCTTCCAGATGATCACACCAAATACTTCGGAGTATTCTTTTTCTCTCACACCAATATCCAGTTTGCCAGCAAATCCTAATGACTCTTCTTTTGCTCTCACACCAATATCCAGTTTGTCAGCAAATCCTAATGGCTCTATTTTCAAAATATACCTAGAATCCAACTACGTCCTCCTTTCTCCTGATCCCCTACCAAGTCCATGTATAGCCACTTCTCACCTGGATGACTGCAGCAGCCTCCTGCCCCCTCAGCCACATAATCAGATCACATCCTCCTCTGCCTCAAGCCACTAATGGCCTTATCTGAGCTTACAAAGCTCTACATGGCTAGGTCTCCCTCCTTCTCTAACCCTCTTACTACCTTGCCCTCTCTTCCTCACACTCTATGCCAAGGACTTCCCATAGGTACTTCGGCCTCCAACCTCCTTCTCTAGTTACTCCAGTGATAATTTTTAAGTGGACCATGAGGTGAAGTGAGTGAGTTGGGAAGCTCATCTCAGGGCTCTTTGATCTTTTCACATGGGATCCTGGGCCAGTTTGCTCCTTGTAAAAGGAGGATGAGAATATCAGCTCTGCCTACCTCACTGGTCACAGATGCAAAAACCCTGCTTTATCCTAGAATTTTTAGGAGCTGGAGCCGAGAGCCTATGGAGGTAAGACGCTTCCTGGAAACTTCTGGGGACTTTTGATCCTGATACCCTGTTTCCCCGAAAATAAGACAGTGTCTTATACTAATTTTTGCTCACAAAGATGTGCTAGGTCTTATTTTCAGGGGATGTCTTATTTTTCCATGAAGAAGAATACGGTACACATTTATTGTTAAATGAAAATAAAGGAAATTTATTACCTAAATATGGTACGGTAGTATGGTAGTTGTCAACACAAACCAGACAAACTGTGAATCCTACAGTATCAAGAATTTACTTATTCAATGACAATCATGTCATCTTCTGGAACATCATCATAACAATCCAATTCCTGAATTTCCTGGTGAATTTCTTGTGACTCTATTTCTTTCAGAATCAGTGGACCAAATCTCTCATGTTTAGCCTAGGGGGACCTTATTTCCAGGGGATGCCTTATATTTCACTCAGAAGGAAACCTGTAAGAAGGTCTTATTTTCAGAGGATGTCTTATTTTTGGTGAAACACAGTAGGTTCCTAGGATAGTGGTATCACCCTGACTAGACTTCATAGCAGTCAGGAGACTGAGCCTCAGGGTTCACTCCCTCAAAAACTTGGGACCCTGGTGGCAGTCATTCCACTATTCACTGTCTGAGGACATAAGTGCCTGGCATTCTGTGGTCCAAAGGTGGAATGAACACCCTCCACACCACAGGGGACTTCTGAGTCTACGATCTTACTTCCGAAAAGACCCTGACATCCAGCCCTAGTTCTGGCTCCTTGGCACTCAGGGCTGCAAGCCTGGCTTCTGCGTGGGCAGTTCTGACCCGGGAAGTCTTAGGAGCAGAGTCTAAGACTTCCAAGGTGCCAGCTCTAGGAAGATAGTCCACTCTACCTTGGAGCAAGGTTGGGGCAGAGAGGTGTTGGCTCCACAGCAAGTTTCTGGGCAAACTACCCTCCCTGAGGAGGGCTAGAGCTGACCCCCGTTGGCCAGGCTGGTTAAGCCCTAGGTTGCAGCACAGCTCAGGGTAGGCCTAGGAAACCACAGAATTCAGCTTAGCCAACATCCTCTGGCCTACTATGTGTGACGGGAACAGTGGGGTGGGGCGCTGTCTGGTGGACAAAGGGTTCATACTGTCTACCAGCCTTTCCTGGGAACTAGGGAAAAGCCTCATTAAACAGGAGCCTGCAGCCAAAGCACAGGAGAATTGCCAGGTGGGCAGGGGTAGGGCAGAGCCTGCCAACAGCTGGAGGCCCTGAGGTGGCCAGGGCTCCAGGGTAGGGCATTAGGGGCCTGGCCAGTCCTTCCCACGTTCATGCAGGCTGCCCTTCGGCTTCGTTCTCCAACCCCCTCCATGCCTCGTGGTGGTACACAGGGGGAACTGTCTGGCGCAGGGCCCAGTGTCTCACACCCCTCTCAGCCAGTGGAA